CATTTATTCTTTCCACTAATATAAAGCCTATTCTGTTTCATGTCTACGTGTATGTATATTGTTTGTGTGTATCTGTGTTAGATTTCCCAATAAAACTATAATTCCTTTGCATTACTTTTTGTACCTTATACTCTTTAAATCCTAAAAACATCTACTACTGTGATTAACACCTAATAAGTACTCAATAAATTCAGGATGAGAGATTAACTGATATGCATAGGTTTTATTTTTCCTGTTAGAAAAAGATCCTGATGTTTGGATGTATCACACTTTGGGTGAACTTGAGTCCATGAAATCCAATTCAATCCCATCTGAGAAGTAAAATGTTGTAATACAGAAAATATTCCACACAGATTTGGGCCAGGATATAGTGCTTCTATTCTAGCCAAAGATCTACAAGCTTATTATTTTACCAGAAGAACAAAGCTGTATATGTGTAGAGAATCAAACACAATCAAATCTTCACCCAAGAAGTTGTGTATAAACATTAACTTGGCTAATCCAGCCTTCATCCAGCTGTCTCTTTTCAAATTTACCCAGGGTGAAATAAAAGAAGTAAACTAAAAATATTACAATAACTGGAGGTTGACATCTGAAATCCTCTTCAATTAAAGCATCTAAGTCAATGCAACAAATATTTACATTAAGAATAGAAATGTTGGGAAATGGTTCAAAAATTGATAGGGCTGGATATTAGCAGACATCTCAGAGCTGCCTTGAGATGCTACATAAACAGCAGATCTATTTACCTGCTTCCTGCCATCCTTCAAAGAAACCTTGAGAGGACAGTTGTTATGCCATGTGGGGCAGCACAAGCCCGGGAACCACCAGGACAGAGAGGCAGACTTGGGCATTCTTGCCACTCTGCCCTGCTCAGCTGGGAGCTCTTCCTCGCCCAACACTGCCTTCCCCCTCCACCCCGTCCCCTGAGAGTCTGACACTATGGGCAGACTGCAGCTGACTCACATTCCTGAGTGAATGTCCAGGAGCCCTAGATGACAAAGGACACACCAATGGTGTTAAAAAGCAGTGTCACATTAGGGGCGAGTTGTAATTCATCTTTCTCAATTTAAGATGATTATGGACTCTTAAACCTGTCAACATTTAGGTTACACTAACACCCAATCTAGCTAATTATGGAAAAACAATAACAACAGTATTAAAAAAGCAGTAAGAACAAAACACTGATCTGAGTAATTCACAATTCAGTGTGAACAAGCACCAAATTACTGCATTGTTGTGAAACCCTATGTCTTGGCAGCATAGATGTGGTCTGCAACATTGGTTCTCCCTAACTGCTGATCAGAAATCACTAATCAGACACATTGCTATACATAGTGCAGTCTCTCGGTTGTTTCATTAAGAATCACTAAGTTGAGCATTATTTAGTAGCACTTGAACTTTTTCTGCATGATTCCTGAGCTCAAGGGTAATCAATCATTATTTCTCTGAGCTGCTGTGTTTTGCCTGTATCTTCTCATTATGCGTGCATTGCATCATTGTTACTTGTGCGCATGTCTGTCATCACCATATTGTGAGCTCCATCTTTGTGTTCTTTTCAGAGCCTATGGTAGTTTGCAAATGCTGGATGAATACATGCACAAAAAACTAATGGCAACTCTATATACTTTCTATGTTGAACCTGTTCAGATTTATACTTGTCTATTTGTTGTCTATAGGTCAACAGGATTCAATCCAAGATCTAGAGTCCCTTGTTGCCACAATTTTGTCTTCACTCTATTCCTCAGTCTCCCATGACTAGAGCATTTGCTTGGTATTGTTTTGTTTTTTTTTGGTACTAGGGATTGAACTTGGGTCCTTGTGCTTGCGCAGCAGGCAGCAAAACCACTGAGCTAGATCCCCAGCTCATTTGCTTGTTATTTTAATAACTTAAGCTGAAAAATTCAATATAGAATGAATGACAATTAATAAATGATATAATGTAAACATTATACAGTATTAAGTATCATAAAGAAGATAGTGGTCGTGTCTAATACTTTATTGCATTTTTCTTTTTGCTACAGTATAATCTTCAGTAGTTCTTGGAAAGAGGCCCTAGGGTTGTAACCTTTCTGTCTGAAAGCTTGTATGTCTACAAAATGCCTTTATTTCATCTTCACAGTTGGATGCTAATTTGGCTGGATTTAAAGTGCTTTTGCTTTTTCATTTGTTTGGCATTTGAAATTCTTGTTTCCAGAGCTGCTGATGAGAAGTCTGATCTAAATCAGATTCTTAATTTCTGCTAATTTTTTTCCTCTCTGGGAACTTTCAAGATTCTTATATTTTAAGGTTCTCAAAATTTTCTACAATACAGCTTAGTACCGGATAACTCTTTCATTCTGAAGTTTTATGTCTTTTAGTTCTAGGAAGGTCCTAGATATTTATTTCTTCAGTGATTGGCTCCTGTATTATCTTTATTTTCTTCTCCACAAATTTCTGTTCACTAGATGTGGTAAGTCTAGAGCTACTCTCCACGGGTCTTCTTTTAAATTTCTCTTTGTCATTTCATCTCATACTCTGGCTACAATTCCTTAGTCCTGATCTTCCTAACTCACTAATTTGCAACTTGGTTGTTTCTTTTTCATTCTGCAACTAAGCCAGCTATTAATTTCTTAATGACAGCAAGTACGTTGTTTTCATTTCCAAGATTCCTCTTGATTCTGTTTTTGTTTCATATGATGTAATATCATATTTTATTTTTCTAAAGATACTACTCTTATCAGGAAGCTTAGCTTTCTCCCTCTGTAAGCTGTAAATTCCTCTTGCTCTTGCCTCTCTCAGACTTTTAGCAGTCCTGGTGTTGCCATTTCCAGCCCTTCCTGATGTGGGCTCATCTTGTTACCTCAGTGTGGGCTACCAGTTTCAAATGGGGCCTGATGAGGCTGTGGGTGCTTGTGTTTCTCACTGTTTTCATTGGGAATAGCTGATGGGCAGAGCCTAGGATGTCAGCTGCTGTGGAGAGCTTATCTGTGACAGTGACCTGGGCCCCTTCCTTGTTTCTCCATCCTAAGCCCTGCGAAGGGGAAGGGCACAAGGAGGGCATTTAGAGGACAAATGGCCCCACATAACAACCCTGCCAGATGCTCATTAGCTGTCATTTCTTTATGTCAGTTCTAGATTTCTCTGGATTTGGTGCAGTCCGAACTAGTCTATGTGTCAAAATCAGCACCCTGAAAAATCCTACCCTTAAACTGAGCCTCCTGAGGGGCTAGGGATTTAGCTCAGTGGTTCTGACTCTTGCCTTGCAAGGACAAGGTCCAGAGTTCGATCCCCAGTACCAAAAAAAAAAAAATATTACTAAACTGAGCCTCCTGAGCAACATACAGGATATATAAAAGTTAGAGAAGACATTGATGCTTATTTGACATGTTCCACTAAGGTCCAGTTTGCATCTTTTTCCTATTTGATTCTGAATCACAGGAAAATACATTTCCTGACTCCTATAACAACAACTGGCTTCCTGCTAAATTTAGCCAATGGGAGGCACTGGTGGATGCCCCGAAGGGGGATGAGAGAGGTCAAGGATGGTCCCTGAACGGTGTCTTGAATAGTACCTGCGTCCCATCAGTGGCTACCACTCGTGTCCAGCCCCACTTGTCAGGCTGAACTCCTATTGCCAGCTCCAGGTCTTGGGTCTTGGTAACACTACTTCGTCCTACTGTCTCTCCAGTCCTAGGGCTCTAGGAGCTTCTACATTCTGATGTCTGGGAACTGTAACTCTCTCTGTTAGCTGCTCAGCAAAATCATCGTCTCTGTGTGCAATTTCCTATATTAAATTCTTTTGTTGAAAGCCCTGGAGTGTTCTTGTTTTCCTGGCTGGATCCTGACTTGAAGATCAAGATGCAGAAGATATATCTTCTTTGAGGGGAAAGGATAAAGGAATTCTCAGCCTGCTGTTAAGTGATTTCAAAGAGTGACATGAAATTCTTAAGGTGAGTTTTAGGCAATATATTTCACTTTAATTGCAAATATGCCTCAAAGCACTTTTGTAAGGAAAGCCTCTGGGGTTATCATAGTACTAAACACAGTGCTAGAATTAGGAAACACCATACTGGGGGCTTTGAATATAACAGGAACCTTGCAGAAGGCTTTTCCAGTGTTAGCTCTACCTCATGGGCAACTGTACAGTAGTTTAAAGAAACTACTTTTACTTCATTTGCCATGCTGGGGATTGAACTCAGGGCCTTGTGCATGCTGAGCAGGCATTTTACCTCTGGAATACACCCTCAGCCCCAAGAAAACCACTTTTATTGTCTCTTTTATTTACCATTTTCTCTGCTGAAGGAGAATTAGGTGGAATGGCAGTTTATCTTCAGAAACCTTGTGTAGCTCTATTTCTTATTTGGAAACAGAGTGCCCTGCCTTCTAAGCCTCGTCCATCATCACAACTGCACTAATACTGAATAAGCATCACAGAAGCAACACAAGAACCTACCACCACACTCACGATCAGAGAGAAAGAAAGCCACATTGTGCCACCGATAGGCCACATGGCTGCAAATCTAAAGGCTCTGGAAGATGCCATGCTGGTATGAAGTCCTCAATACTTGGTTTCATTTGCAGCTCGACTGTTTGAACTGTAATATATGGGCCATCTATTTATTAAGGGATGGAGCTTATTTTGGCATGGGATAAACTGGTGCTTGCAGCAAGATGCAGTTGCATACAAAGGATGTTTCTTGAATTCCTCTCAGATCTGAGACCTACAGTTCGGTGTATTTTTCAACTGCATGACTATCATCCAGCCCTTTCTGCAGCTGGCAGGAGGCTATTCCCATCCTCGCCATGCTCTGTTCTTTACTTCCTCAAAGCTGAGGTGGCAAAAACACTGCCAGCCTTCAACAGCTTTTCATGGAAAGCTGCCACTCTCAACTGGCGCCTCAATGCAATTTCAGACTGTCCCAGGGGACTGGCATGCTTTGAGGTGAATTGAATGCTGAGGCCAACAGAGAAGTTAACACAAACTTTCACTGTGAGAGGAAAAGAATGTGAGAGCTTACTGCAGGAGTTCCTCTTCTGTAAGCGCCTCTGTCCTCTGCTCCCCGGTGACAATGGCCAGTTCGTCCTTCAGTTCCTGGATTTCCTTCTGCAGGCAGATAATCACCTGTCGGGGCAAGGTGGACGAGTGAATGCCAACTTGTAGAGAACATACAGCTTTCTGAACTGGAGCTGTTCTAAGGACACCAAAATGGCCAGAGAATGATATAAAAGGCACGGCTGCAGCCACCAGCCAGCTTTATAAAGTCTTAATTTTGTCAAAATGGCTCTGGAATTATTTTTTAACAGGTAAAACAGTACGTGTAACTGGAACCTGTTATTCCTATTTCCTTTCCATCCTTCCTGAGGGATCATGCTGAGGCACTGAGGGAGTATCACATCCCTCTATGTTTTCACACATTTATTCCGTATGTACAGACGTACCTGTAAATAATGCATGGTACCATTTGTCATGCCGTCAACTAAAAATGGAAATGTTACATTATTGCATGTCATGGTGGCTTGTTTTTTGGCTTTACAGTTTTGAGCTTATTTACATTGCTTCATGTGGCTGTAGTTCATTAATTTTCATGAATATATAGTGTATCAATACATTGAATTTTGTTCATCTGTGTGTCTTGTTGATGGGCATTTAGGATTTTACTCTTGCTGTGAATGTGAGAAATCTCTCTGGGCTCATATATGAGAATTTCCTTACAGTGTACTCTTAAAACTAGCATTTCTTGGTAGCAGAGTATAGGCGTTTTGCCTTTATGGTGTGGAGTTAAATCACTCTTCAGAGTTGTAAAAACTTAACTTCCTATTAACTATACACACACACACACACACACACACACACACACATATATTCCTGCTTCTTCACAGTTTTATCACTATGTAATCTTGACAGGTACTCTGATTTTGTCAAACTGGTAGGCAGGAAATGATATCAATTTGTATTTTCATAATTATCAGTGAAGTTGATCATCTTTACATGTGCACCTTGGCTGGCTGGGTTTCTTCTTCTGAGAATTACTTATTTACATTCTTGCCTATGTATCAGTTAACATACTTTTCTTTTCCTTATTATTCTGCAGGTTTCTTTATTATTCTGGATGTGAATGCTTTGTTGATTTTATGCAGTGCACTTTTTTTCTCTGTCTATGCCATGTTTTTTACTTTGTGGCTTTTGTTTTTTGGTTAAATGAAAGCTCTGAATTTCAATATCATTTAATTAGCAACTTTTTCATTTATGAATTATGCCTTTGTGTCTTCTCAAAATCTGTCTTACCCTAAACCATAGCAATATTTTCTTATATGGCCTTTTAAAAGTGTTATAGCATTGCTTTTCACACTTATGTGAATTTTATTGTGTACAAGGTATTACAAGGATAACATTTCATTTTTATATTGTACCATACAAAGTTTGCTATTATAATTATGTTATGTAATATGTTTGCACATATAAACCTGTTTCTGGGCTATTGGTTGAAGACATTTGTCAACTTGTCTATATATATAGTAAGCCCACACTTTTAGCTAATAAAGTGCATCTAAATAAGACAATTCCCTTCCATCTTGTTCTTTTATAAGAACAGAGATGGCTATTCTTGGTCATTTGCTCTTCCATATAAACTTTACACTCAGCTTGTCAAATTCTGCCAAAGACCCTCTTCAGATTTTTCCTGGAATTACATTTATCTAAAAGGTTAACTTGGTAAGTCATTGAATTAGCAATACTGTATTGAACCACCTCATCCATGAGTTTAGTAAACATCTCCACTGACTCCTTCCAATAAAAATTTATAATTTTCTATAAGTATCTTATGTGTCTTTAGCTAGAACATGTACCAAGAATTTAAAGGTTTTTGTTGATTTTATGAATGGAATTTTGTAAAATTATATTTTGTAACTGTTTGGCTTCTAGAGTATAGGAATGAGATTCATTTTTATGTATGGATTATGTATGAAACAATTTTCTGAACATTTGTGGCTCTGTTGATCATTAAATATTCTTGGATGTTTTCTGTAACCAATAAAAATTGCTAGTAATGACAGATGCTTTTCTTCTTTTCTAGTTCTCATATATTGTATTTCTTTTTATTGTTTCATTGTCTTAGCTGGAACTTCTAAGTATAATTCTTAAGACATCCTTATTTTATTCCCTCTAGTATTTCACCTTTAAAATGTTTATTATAATTTTTTGGTTAATATACTTTGTCAGTTTAAAGATGTTCATTTATATTCAGAGTTTGATGAATTTTGTCAACATATGAATGCTTAATGTTATCAAATACTTTTTATTCAACTAGTGATGAGACGACGATTTTTCTCTCTTAAGTTGTACAGGTGATGAATCACCTTAATTCCCGTGATTATTTTAGTATATACTATTTCAAATGCACAAAAAGGTATCAAAGAATCATTGTACCCACTGCTTAGCTTAAGTGAATACCCATATACTCAATACTTCAGAAAGAAACATCACCGACCCTTCTGAAGTTCTCATCCTATATAGCCTTCCTTAAATTAATGCCTCATTATCATTATCCTAAATTTGGCTTTTATTTGTTCTTATTTTTCCTTTGCCTATACTGATATATTTTCTAGTGCTAGATTATCTTTAAAGTCCTGAAATAACCCAACTAGGTCATGATACCATAATATCATGATACCGTAAGAAAACTTCCTAAAACAAAAAATCATCAAATCAGCATTTCCTCTTCTTTGAATATCTGGTAATGCTAAAAACTAAACACACACAAAAAAACAAAAACCAAAATGAAACAGATCCCCCCCCCCGCTCCCTCCCTCCTTCCTTCTCCATTTGGCAGCTTTGCTCATTTTCTAACTTCTTTGCTTGGTGGTTTCCAGACTGAGGAGAGTATGTAAAGTTGAATTCAAATTCATGACAGGTAGAGACTAAGAGTTTCAAATTTTCTACAATGCACTTTTTGTTTTACCTAGAATCCAAGTTAAAGCAGACAAGCTGCCTTAACACCTCTTTATGCCTGTGGATGGCTTCTTTTTTGTGTTTCACGCTTTCACTGGTTTTCTGTTAGGGAAGGAAATGTCTTAAGTTCAATCTTCACCTTGCAAAAAGGGCTCTGACTTTCATCCCTTTGTCAGAACACCTTTAACCCGCTCCAGGACAACTATACCCTTTAGCTTTGTTTCTGGGCTCTGGAGAATCCTTTTACTCCCTTTAAACCTCAGATAAGTATTTCCAAGATGCTTGTAAAATTTTATATAGGTGAGTTCGGATTGTCTGGATCATATCAACAGGACCAGAAGTCCCAAAGAACATGATTCTGGGGATTCTGAACATGTCATGCTCCTAGAATTTTATTTAAATGCACAGGGTGGTCTGATTTTATTTGCATCTTTTTTGAAAACATTCTCAGAATCATCAAACTATGTAGAGTGAAAATCTTCAGACAAGAACCTTATGAGTCATTCATTTGCATTCTCCTCTATTAAATTAATATTGATGTCATATTTTCTATTCCTATTAAGACTTCTAAAGTCAAATCAAATACCAAATTAATTTTCTGTCTTATTGAATTGAAATCGCCAAACTAAGCCAAATTTTCATGGTTTGAGATGACCACAGTCACACCTCCCACCAGGTTACTGCAGGAACTCTGGAATTAGAGCAATCCTTAAAAGATTCTGGCCCAAGCCCCATCGCCACAGACTCTAGTCTGGCTCACAGTTCTTTTATCACTGTGTCCTCTGAAGTACCAATACCTAGAAAGAAAGCAAGGCAGATCCTTGGTGATCTTGATTGTACAGGACGCTCCACATCTGCCATTAAAATTTAAGAGTAAAACACAGGAGCTCCCACCCAGTTGTGTCTTGGGTGGTTTTTAGGACAAATTTTCAGCTGTCACTTGTACTTCAGACGAGCTCTGTACTGATAACAGCAATGTCAGTTTTTAGGTACAATTAATAAAGAGACCAGGAAACAACACTTATCAGTTGCCAGAGTATTCTGTACCAGGGAGGCCTCAGCAATTTGTCCTATTATCAGATATTAGCTTTTCACTTCTGATCTCTCTTCTCGTCAACTCTTTTACAGCTCTACATCAGACACGTGACAATGTTTGCCTTTCTTTAAATTCCTCAAGTTCATGTAGAGATAAGTTTCTCTAGCCAAAACTCTCCAATGCCTAATGTGTTTATTTTTCTTGAATTATGAGCTAATTTTTGTCTTCAGGCTAATAACGCCATTATTGTCTTTCTCATTCTGCACAGAAATGCTATGGGGCTGCTAGAAGGACAAGGAGAGCAGAATAAGTCACCCTAGAAGTGCGATGCCTCTTGACTTGTGCCTTTGCATTCTGGCCCTCTCCCTAGCCAGGGCCCTGCATGATGCTGGTATCTGACCAAGGCCTGCACCGAAAGTGACTAGGATAGAACACATGGAATGAATTCAAGGGAAAAAAGGCGAATAACCAAGAGAAAGTAATTAATATGGGTAATGATGGATTTGAGATTTTTTTAAAATTTGAGAAATCTGTAAATGAAGTACTGTTGGTAAGATTTCACATTTTAAAATAATGCAGGTATCAGTTTATTTTTTAGAGAAATAAGAAAAGCTGGGTGATTTGAAAAGTAATATACTCTTGATTTAATGGAATTGGACAAAACAGGTATCTCCTTTCAACACTTTCAATGTGGGCATGAGTTGATTCAGTGCTGTACTTCCTTTAAAGAAAACTAACAAAATAGAGAAAAAACAAAATATTTGCATTTAAAATGAATAGTTGAATCTTATAACTTGCAGATGTTTTTGCTTATGAAAGTGTTTTGATAAAGCAAGATTTATTATTATAGAATAAGAAATTTGATAATTTTCCCATATATTCAACTTATATTTTTAAAAGACCTCTAGAATAAGTAACGGGACAGTTACAAAAATGTTTTTATTTAACAACCATTAGGACTCCTCTTTTTAATAAAAGAGGATGAAAAGGTGAAAGATGCTCTCTTACGTAATGTGTCTGGAAAGTTAACTGATGGCTGTGAGAGGCAGCTCAGCAGGGAAGCCCTGGGGCCCATCCTGCCTCCCTATCTATTCCCACTGAGAGGCTGGCAAGTCATTTCACATCACTATACCTTGACTTTGTTCTCTGGAGACAGAGACAGCTTCTCTTGCTCAGTCTGTTTTGAGAATTTAATCAGCCAATGCATTTCCAAGAGCTTGGAACACTGCCTCACAAGGAGCGAGTGGCCCCTCTAGGATTTAGCTAATCTTTGATATTCCTTTTTCGTAAACATAGTTAAAGAGCATACCAATCTGGGATCAATTTCTTCATTAAGGACTGCTTCATTCTTTATGAGCGCCACTCGCTGTGCGAATCTGCAGGTAGATATGGACTCCTAAAAAAGCAGAAATCACTTCTTGAAATGCTGTAGCAAAGGGAGAGACTTCTGTCAAGATAAAATTTAAGTTTTATTCACAGGAGAAAAAAGATGCATACCTAAAGAATGATGTGTATAAAAAACCACAATGAAGAACTAGGCCTCCAAATGAGGGAGCTTTGCTCTAGGACGCTGTTTTCTGCAACAATTTGGTTTTGGCTTAATAAAATGACCACTACTGAAAATATGGGGGATCCTGACATCCTAAATGGCAACTGGTGTGTGTTTTCAACTTTAATCTGTTAAACCAGAAATATATATCAGCTGGTACCACAATCCATAAACACGAAAGACTACAAAATAAATATTTGTAATAGACCAAAAAGAGGGGCTTTTCAAAATGCCTTGCCCTTAAGGGGTGGGCCTTGTTTTGGGAAGCACTCTGCTGCTTCCCATTTTCCTCTCTGTAGAGTGTCTGGACCCCAAACATCAAACCAAACTGCATGAAATGTCAGCAGGCTCTAAAGCAACCCAGGAAAGCCGTTCAGCACCAGCCCCCTCGAAAGCATTCTGGGCACTGCTCCCCAGGATCTGTCAAGGGATAGGATATCTCTGAGATATCCAGGCCTTACTAGTCAAGAGCAGAACTGAACAAGAGGGGCTGAGGGGTCACCTTTCTCATTTCTGTGGCTGAGAACAAACTCATTGGCAGGCTTCCAAAATTCGCATACGAGGCTTCTTCAAACCACTCTGTGCCGTGCAAAGCCAGTTCTCCAAAGGGGTTATTACAGTGCTGGCAAGTAACCCACACCTGTGAACTCCATAGTGTACTGATTCACCTAGGGCCCTCAGCTCCATCTTCCAAACTGGCAAGGGAGGCTCTGAATAAGATCTGCAGCAAGAGGAACCAACGTACCTCAATGTTCCTTTTCTCCAAGGAGAGTGTTGCAATCATGGTGGTCATGCAGTTCCCCCCCAAGCTGTCCCTGAGGACGCTGGTCATCATGGAGTTCCTGTAAGGAATGTGCAAGCGGTTCCTCTCTGAAAGGGCAATGATGACCTGGGGCAAAGAGAAGGAACGAGGGCCTTACAGGGCTGAAGAGGCACAGCTTGCAGTGGGGTTTCAACGGCAACAAACTGCACAAAGCGAGAGTGACTAAACACAGCGTGACACCTAGAGCCTGGGCACAGACTAAATACCTTAATAATATTCAGTAAAAAGTGGTGATGATGAAATGAAGCAAAAGTAGCATCAACACAGCACGGTGAGCCCTGTAATTCTTGGACAGATGACACAACTTTTATAGAATTGGATACGCTACTTTTCTGTTTTCAGCCATTGGAAAAGCTGTATAAAAACACCACAATCATGCCTGATTAATTTAGTCCCACCGAAATTGAGCGGTAGGGCTCCCAGGTAGGAGAGGCAGAACAGCAAATAGGAACTATGGGAAGTTGCATGGGGTGGAGGTTGAGATCCCACATTCTGATTCATGACTGTCTAGGTGAAAATCCTCGTCTTGCCAGGGAATGGCCCTCAGCACCTCTGCCTCAGTCTCCACTGACATAAAACAGGGATAAATAGTTGGGATGGCCGAAAGAGTTACAGAGTGTGAATTACTTTTGGTAAGTAACTATAACGAGTGCTTACCGTGTCTGCTATCATCGTGAGTGATGGGGTAGTTTAGCTTCCTTCTACTCGGGCTTGTTCACCTCACCCCTCATGAGTGTCTTACTGGGCAGGTACTCGGTGGATGGATGGCTGTAGAAGGATGCGGACAGCCAGGGCTGTCCCCAGAGGGGGGCACCAGTGGCTCAAAGCTACCCTGGGGAGATTCCCGTGCCAGGAGGTCCACGCAGAGCAGCTGGAATCAGATGCCCTTGGAATGTGACCTCAGGGGCATCGCAAGATCCTGGCTCCCAGATACCTCTGCTGACACCTGTTGTGCTAGTTCTCTCTCCGCCCGGCTTGGTGATTTCTATCATCACAACCTTTTTACTCCTTTGGTTTATAAAACAAAATGAGACGACTGTTTTTTGAAGACTGTTTTGAGCAAACACAAATGAACTATACCACTGGTCTCACTTGAAATCCAGTCTCAGGTTTCACTGCAACCCAGAAATCCTGTGATCTGTCTCATAAGCACTTTTGTACCCTCAGAAAGGAAGCTTCTGCACCTCTTCCTTTCTCTTCAGATCCGCGTCCCTCCTGATTCAGTGGCCGCCCTTCTAGCAGACATGAGCAGCCTGACCAGAGCTCCCTCGTGCCTCACCAAATCCCCAGTCCCATGTTCTGTCCTCACTGTCACCGTCCTGCTCAGAGCCTGGCCCCCAGCCTCACAACTGCTCTCTGCTCGCATGGACTCTGCTCCTGCTCCCCTCCCTCGTCAGCATCCACTGCTGCCACTCATCTGCATACCTCCCATGCTATGTGGCACTACCGCATGACGCTAAGATGACTCTCGCCTTGTCACCAGGATGCCACTTTACCCCAAGTATGCACTGCCGCCGCACTGGACTTCGGAGCTGAGCGGCAGGCACTCAGACAGGCATGCACTGCTGCCTCTGGGAAGCCCCTGTTCTTGTGGTAATAGGGACACCATGCTTTCTTGGTTTTCATCTTTCCTTAGAAAAGTTAATTAACGCTTCCTTTCCCTCTTTCTAAAGTGTTGGAGCATCCCTGTCCTCTGTTTATCTTTTAAGTGTGTATTGAGTGTGTATAGAATGATGAGATTCATTATAGTGTATTGGTACATGCTTATAAAAGGTTTTCATTATTTTCATCCCTATAATCCTTTCCTGCTTCTTCCTTCTCCTTAAACTTCTTCCCCATCTCTAAACGTCTACTTTCTAATTTCCTGTCATCTCTCCTTTAATTTATTGATTTAGATTGCTCCTCTAAGAGAAAATGTGATATTTAACTTTCCGAAATTGGCTCATTTAGCTTAACATGATGGCCTCCATTCATTTTTCCCATGAATGACACGATTTTCTTCTTCTTTGTGGCTGAATAATATTCCACTGTGTATCCACAACACATTTTCTTTATCCATCCATCCACTGACAGGAATCTAGGCCATTTCCACAGCTTCGCTATTGTAAATTGCGCTGCTATAAACAGAGGCATGCATGTATCACATTACTTTGCTGTCTTTAATTCTTTTGGGAACACACTGAGGAGTGGTGTACCTGGATCAAATGGTATTTCTTTCTTCTTTTTTTGGTACCAGGGATCGAACTTGAGTCCTTACGCTTGTGAGGCAGGCAGTAGCACCACTGAGCTAAATCCCTGGCCCTCAAATGGTATTTCTAATTTTACTCTTTTGAGGAATCTCCATGCTGATTGTGACAGTTGTACTAGTCTACATTCTCACCAACACTGTAAAAGGGCCCATTTTCTCCCACAGTCAGAACCCTGTTCTCAATCCCCTTTTGTAGTGACCCCCGCTCCTGAATATGCACCATCAAACTCAATGTATTCCTCCAACTGCCATGTTCTTGGCAACTCTAACATCTCCACCTGTATTTATCTTCTGGATTTCCTGTCCCCTCTTGCTTCAAGCCTGATTCTTTTCCAGGCCTTACCCATCATTAATAGCACCAGCATCACCATTAATGGTCAAAAGCCTGGCCATCGTCCTTGATTTACCCAACTTCCCAGCCACCAGAAATTTCATTACCTTTTCCTACAAAACTGATCTAGAATGACTACTCTCCCCTGTCCTCTTACCACTGCTCCAGTTCAAGCCTCCACGGTGCCTTGCTTGGACCACAGTCTCTTTTGGCTTGGAGTCAGTCTCTTTTGCCCTTTCATGGTCTATTCTCCACCTAGCAGCCAGAGGAATCTTTATAAAACATAAGTCACACCAAGTCACTTCCCTGCGTCCAGCCTTCCAGGGCTTCCCAACACATTCAGGGTGACCAGTCAGCTCCTGTGTGACCTGGTACCTGTCCGACCTCATCTCCTGCCCTGTGCCCTTCACCTGCATCAGCCATCTTGCTGTTGGTACAACACACCAAACTCATCCCCAAACTACAGCCTTTGGATGTGCTGTTCCTTCCTGCCTCTCAGAATGCTCCTGCCCCAGATTTTCATACAGCTCCTTGCTTCTTGTCATTTAATCTTGGTTCAAATTCTGTGTCCTCACAAGGGCTTTTCCCCACAAACAGAACACGCCTATCTCCAGACTTGTACTCATTTATGCTTCCCCGAGTACTTACCACCCTTTAAAACTGAGTATGTTTTCTTGTTTGGTATTTGCTTCCCCACTGGACCTTCTGCTCTTCAAGGCCACAAGTGTCACCTCTCCTGGTCGTAGCTCTATCCCGCTGCCTGGGACAATGCCCAGCACTTCATACATGGGACAGAAACACAGTTGTCTCACTCAGCTCTCAAGAAAACCCCCACTCCAGTCCACCTTCCTATAAAACTCCATTTCCTCCTCTCCCCTGCAGTTCAGATTTTTCGTAAGACCCCTCCAAGGACAGCAAGGAGGGGAGGTGGCCACCAGGAGGATGGTCAGGGGTGGCGACGTGCGGTGGTGGAGGTGTTTGGGTCTGCGGGCCTGGACTCCATGTCTGAAGTGCTAGACGGGGTAACAGGAGTGCTTTCCTGAACAATTCAGGGGTGTGGCTCGGTGTCTTCTCATTGCTCTGCTCCCAGCTGGGTAGTAGCCAAGCCCCGTTTTCTGGATTTTCTTGAGATTGATTATGTTCAGCAAATTCTATGATCCCTAAAATAGCTAGTGTGGATTTTCTGACGAATACAACATGTGCTTAACACATTTTGTCCCATGAAGGAAGAAAGAGATGAACCGGTTTCTCCTAGGAAAGTGGCATGAGGGTCCTTAGTAGGGAATGAGATTTGGGGGAACTAATTCCAGAGTATCTGGAAAGGAGATGGGGAACATGCGAAGTCTGAGTGGCAAGAGATGTGAAACAGAGCTCCAGACCCGAAGGGCCAAGAAGACAAATGACATCTCTGACACCGGCAAGGTTGGCTAAAACACCAAATGCCTGGCCGAACAGGGGTCCATCTGAGTGATGTGCACAGACAACAGTGTTATTATTTATGAATCATCAAGGAAGCATTCAACATTTCTCTAAGTGCTTTGAAGTTCTTTCATAAAGCAAATGCCACAGTTGTTTTCCTGCTCCTGGAGACAATACTGACCTTTTTTTTTTTTTTCTGTTTGAAGGCTTTATTGACCACTTAGATAACAAAGAAGAATATGCCTGTCAAACTTCCTGTTGCTATTAAATTGTATGTTACTGACTGAATTTGCTTTTGGTTGCAGATAACAGAAGATGTAACCCAGCCTGGTTGCAGTCACAAGAGAAAATTATTTTCTCATTAACTGAAATAGAAGAGGCTCTAGGTTAGAAATGACCCAAATGACCCAAACGTCAGTGCAGAACTTAGTTTATGCCCATACACCTGTTCCTTCTTTTACATGGTAGAAGTTAGCCTCTGCCCATAGCCCCGGGATGGCTGCCAAATGCTCTGATGCTACGTGCTTTCTCATTCCTAACTTTAGTGAGAAAGGTCTTTTCTTCCCTAATTATTAGACAAAAGTCCTGAGCTTTTCTGGGAATTGGCTTGGGTCCTGACCCACCCTGAACCAACTGCTGGAGCCAGGAGAAAGGCAGGCTCCAATTTGCTTAGAGCATCAGAATCAACCCTCAGAGCTGGGATGGGTTCTTTTTCCCCCAGAGTGGACCTTGCAGAGCCAATTCCAATGTCTTCTCCAGAAGGAGTTCTAAACTTTGCTAAAGAATGCTCAAAAATAAAAATGGAATTGTGGATTAGCTTATGGTCTTTAAAAATGGAAGAAATGAAGCCCTTAATGATAAAAGAAGGAACTCAGGATTTGCGAGTCCGAATCCAGTCCAGGTTCCGCACTTGTGTGATCTTAGATACATTTCTCAAATTTATTAGCCTTGATTTCCTCATGTGTAAAAGTGAGATTAGAAATCAAGTGAGGTGGTAAATCCTGTAATCCTGGCATTCTAGGAGGCTGTGACAGGGGAACTGCAAGTGTAAGCCCAGCCTGGGCAACTAGGTGACTTAGCAAGACCTTGTCTAAAAAAGAGATATATATTTTTTAAAAGGATTGGAGATATAGCTCTCCCTGGATTCACTCTCCAATAGTACCAAAATAAGTTAAACAGGGATTCCAATGCCTACCTGTCTTGAATAAATGTTTTAAACCAACAGATGTACATATCATATCAATAGATAGAATGTCTGGGATAGTTCTTAGTGAAACAGAAAGTACTCAGTGTTGTGCAGGAGTCTTTAGGAAACATCTGCTCTTTATAATCCCTTTGGAGATTGGTTTTAACCACGCAAAGGCAGGGCCGGGTCATTTCTTTAGAAGAGGACCCTGAGCAGCTCTCTTGGCTCTTCAGGAGCCTCAGAGCACCAGTGAGCCTGGCCTTGGGGCGGATGGCTTGCAGTGACCCAGAAATGGCAGGCACTTAGGAGACTGCTGTGGGCTCTCCTAACTGGGCAGGAACCCAGTGATCGGAAAAGCACAGAGGCAGGGCGTAGTCTTCCTACAGCCTGGTGTGTGCGTGCGCGCGTCCGTGCATGCGTGCGTGTTAATGCTCGCTTCCATTTTGGGTTTCTTGTATAAATACAATGAGAAATGTTCCTTTGGGCATTCATTAAGTGACAGAGTGGAACTTCACATTAGTCTTGTGTGTAAGGACCTAGAAGGTGTGGTTGGCATCAATAATTCAGCTTATTATTTAATGAAATAAAGAGATTTTCATTTAAAGAGCTCAGAAAGGCATGAAAAATTATCCTCAGAAACCGACACCAACTTGGAGCAGTTATGACCAGCACTGGCCCCATTAATTTTTTTTTTTTTTTTTTTTCTGAACACAACACATTCAGCGGGAGCCAAATGGAAACTGAAACTCTGAAAAAGTCGCGCATCTGTTGAGTAACTGCTGATTTCTGATGAGGTGGAGGGCGGCTCCTCTGGGTTCCCAGCCGTTTCTCCCTTCATGCCTGGGCTGACAGCGACCCTGGGTCATGCCGGGCCGCTCCGTGAGGTTCACAGCGGGAGCACAAGTGTGCCTGGCCCCTGCCTTTGCCTGACGTGAACTCCATCTCTAGGGCCAAAGTGAACCCTGTTATTGTGGCTGGAAATGTTTTCTGAGGAAACATTTTGGAAAAATACTGCACGCATGAAGAGGACTCCAAAACCAACGCTACTCTGGCAAATACAAAGCGATTTACTTCTGAGCATAAGAAGGTGCGTTCAACCGGACAGGCGGGACCCTCCTAGAGGGCGTGAGGGCTCCCAGTCACGGCCAAGAGGGCGATCGGAATTGTGCTCCTAAACCAGTGCAGCCTAAGGAAGGCAAGGCAGATTAACAGACTCTTTCCTAGTCCGTGCCTCTATCTCTTACGCTGGAACTGAGATGGCGATGCCATAATCAATTAGTGAGGCATCTATGGATTTCTGTTGCAGCATTATCTTAACTGTGTTGCAGGTGTTCCTACGCTTTGCTATGCTGCTGCTAACTCGATGGCACGGCCTCTCGCAGTCATGTGCTCGTGCCTTTGCCTGCTGTAACTCAGCACCCAGTGGACCCTCAGTCCCAGTGTGTCAATGAAGGAGGGAACAAAGCCAGTCACACTAAGCGGCGTTGCACATCAGGCCCCTCAGCCATGTAATAAAGTACTACATAAAGAGAATCTGATCATAAACATCCTTGAGTCATGTTATTTCATTAAGCATCGTCCCACTCTTTTAAATTTTACTCTTATTCCCACGTCATTCTTGGGTCTCTCCCACTGTCTTTTCTGAGTGCTATCCCAAAATTCCTTGCTCTACCTACTGCTCCTAGACTTACTCGACCCTATCAAGTGTGTCTACAGCCTGCAGTTTTCCCACATTGTATTCTGCTTTGTCCACGAGCTAATCTCTCCTCTCTCCTTCATCTTGTGCTGAGCCCCCTCTTGCTTGTAAAGATGCTGGACATCATGGTAAATACTTAAAGTGGGAGAAAATAAAACAGATAAGCTAATCACAGAGGGCCAGGGTCAATGGCATGTGAATGACATCGGGACCTCCAGTAAGCCGGTCCCCTTGGGCCGGAGCAAGCAGACCCCTCGGCCAGCTCACTCCTCCTCATTCTTCAAGTCTCTGCTTAGCATCAGACCCTCAGAGAGCTGTCACAGACTCCCCCATCCCCCATCCAAGTCACATCCCCCATGGCCAGTGCTCTCACACCCATCCCCTGGACGACAGCCATATACTTCATCACGCTTACTTACTGCACAGCTCCCTGCACTGAACCATGACAACATCTCTCTTTCTTGCTTCCTGTCTTCCTTCCTTCCTTTTTTCCTTTCTTTCTCTTTCTTTCTCTCTTTCTTTCTCTCTCTCTTTCTCTCCCCCCTCTCTCTTTCTTTTTGATACTAGGGATTGAACCCAGGGCCTTTGCATTAAGCTACATCCCTAGTCTTTAAATGTTTTTTTTATTTTGAGGCAGGGTCTAAGTCACTTAGTTGTCCAGGCTGGGGTCAAACTTATAATCCTCCCACCTCAGCCTCCCAGAGTGCTGGGATTATGACCATGCACCACTACATCAGGCTGGACCACAAGACCTCTGAGGCAAGGACTGTTTCTATTTTGTTCTAGCAGGGCCCTTAGCATGTAATAAGTCTGCATAAATACTTGTTAGATAAATACTGATATGGAAAATCAAATGCTACATAGCCACTAAGAAAACCATGCAATTTTGATGTTCTAAGAATTTTGAAGAGAAGAAATGTGAAGAGAGTGACAAAGAGCAGCTTGTAAAGGTTGTGCAGACCGAAGACAGAAAAAGGGTTTAGGGCAGAACACTTCTCTTGAGAGATTACAATTCATGCAAAGTTGGCTTCAACTGATGAATGCAATTTTGTACAAACAGATGGACATAATGGGAATCAAAACAGCGGTACTATCAGAGGCAGGATGATACTGTTCTTTCAAATAAAGCATTTTGAATACAGTTCATTATGTTTTCATATCATTGTTCTGTAAATGTTCTATTAAGTAAAAAGCTCTGTTAAGGATAAGTAGTGTTATTTGAGCACGAAAGTGCTCAGAACTGCTGACTCTCATCAAAAACACAGAAATGATCGAATGCCATGCAGGCCCTGCTCTCTGGGCACTGTGTCATTGGATTCGTTGGGTCAGAACCTAGCTAGCCATGGGCCTCTTGTTTGGACAGACTCCCAGAGGTTGCTTGCAGTCTGCTGTCTCAGCCAGCATGCCCATTAGAAAGCAGTTAGCGTTGGACAATATCACTCTCAAAAGGGTTCATTATGCAGTTTTAAATGTTTTGGTTTTTTTCTCAAATCTTTTAGCCTCAACATCCATTAACAAGTCCTGTCTCATCTATAGACTCTGTACTCACCACTCCAGTTTTGATCATATTTTTTTTTTTTAAAAGAATTTAGAAATCCCAGCCATCTTTAACATTCAACTCACAGGCCTTCTACTCACAGAGCTGAAAGGAACTTGAAAAATCATCTCGTTCAATCCACTCATTTGAGAGGTGAAGATTTTTTTTTTTCCTGGAAGATTTATGTAGCTACACTCAGATCATTTTCTCTGTCCTCAGAGTCAAATTCAAAATTTAGAAACAGAGCACATTCGGGGTTGGACTGGAGTCAATATGGAGCAGAGGTAGGGAGGGAAGCCAAGGCTCAGAGAGAGGGAATCACCCCAGGGTCAACATTTTTGATTAGGAGAAGTCACTGGGAGCTGAATACATTTGGTCACCTCCAAAGAATATTCCCATAGCTGATCTACTACGGTAGCCTGGAAAACCAGCTAGCAGGAGGCCTTTTACGTATACTTAGCATCATTGAACTGTTTACTGAAAATGATTAAAATTTTAAGTTTTATGCTATGTATATATTACCAAAATAAAAAAGAAACAAAACAAAACAGAAATGTGAGCCTGCTGCAAAATATGCCTGACAAAGGGTCTGCAGCCATGTCCCACTCTGCCCGCATTACCTGCTCTAAGTAATGCAGGGACAAGTTGATGTACTTGGCCTCCGTCAGAAGTTGGCCCCTGACTCCACTCTTGGCAACTCGCTCGGAACCGGCCAGGTCGACCAGGTGGAGCTTGGAGTGTCGGACGGTTGCAGATCCCGGCTCCTTGCTTGATAAATGAACAGTGAAGATGCAGTGGGAACGGGTTGAAGCCTGGTTCATAGGCGTCTATAAAACAGAAGAGGCAAGACAAAAATCATGAGAAAAGTGAGAAGAAGTTTTGAAGAGCATCAGAAGATTTGAATTTATATTCCTAATGGTAACACATTCCCCATGAGGACAACATTGTCAAATGGAACAAAAACACTTGTGGCTGAGACCTTTAAAGTGAGCTCTTTTCCACGTGCTACCTCTTGGATGACTGACAGCAAGTGTAGATGGGGCAACCAAGGAAGTGACAAGAGTTCTAAGGCAGTAAAGATGGAGGCCTTTTATCAAGATGATCACTTTATTTTGCTCTCCAGCTACAATCCACACCTTGACCCTGGCCACCCATACCAGCAGCGCTTAATGGTAATTGCCTGGGATGGCGGGGAGAGTGTGAGCCATAAAGAACTCATTAATACAGCTGTGAGCAGAACCTGCCGAGGAGGATGCCTGCCATCACTCCTCTGCTCACCACTGAGCCCGAGAACAGAATAAACAAGAAAAAGATTTGGAAGGCAGAATGACGGGAAGAGACTAACATGGCTTTATGTGCAGGAAATACAGCATTCTACCTCAAAAATGCAAGAACTTCTAGAGACAAAGTGATAGAAGCCAAGAAGTTTATCAGGGTTACTGGGTGTGAGATTATTATGTGAAACTGATTAAGTTGTAATAACACCAATAATTAATTAGAAAAATATAATGTTATTCAAAATAGCAACAAAGACAGTGAGCTAACAAGGGTTATGTACATTAAAGAATGCAAACTACAGAGAAGTGATACAATAATATTAAAGTACACAAAAAGAAAACCTGAATAAATGACGTGCTATGCCATGGCATAGGCAGGAGAACTAGAACTTTATGTGTAAATGTCTATGGAGCTATCTATGTCGTGTAATTGAAATAAAAATGCTGCAGGTTTCATTTACAGAACAAGGTAAATTGATTCTTTTCTTTTCTTTTTTAAATTGATTCTAAAAATCACAGAAGAGAAAATCTTCACACAAAAGGAAAATTAATTTTGTGAAAGGAGGAAGGGAGGCTTGTTCTTCTACACGTTCAATTATACCACACAGCTGTGAGTATTACAGCAGGGTGGTACTGGGGCGGGGGCAGAGAGCTGGGCCTGTGGAGCACTGTGCTCACCGAGGAGGTCTGTGAGGACAGAGGGGACCTCACGCCACAGCGGAGCGAGGGCACACTGACTAACAAATGGTGCTGGGGCAAATGGTTCCTTCTCTTGAAAACAATACATTTAGATTGACTTTACACTGTACACATAAATAAATTCAAGAATGAATTAAAACGTCACATGAAGGGCTGGGGATGTAGCTCAGGGGTGCAGCACCAGCCGGGCAGGTGTGAGACCCTAAGTTTAATTTCCAGGACCAAAAAAGAAAAAAGAAAGAAAAAAAGACCAAAAAAAAAGCAAAGGTGGGTGTTTTAGTGCACACCTGTAATTCCAGCACTCAGGAGGCTGAGGCAGGAGGATTGCTGTGAGTTCGAGGCCAGCATGGCCTACACAGTAAGTTTAAAAACAGAGCAAAACAACAACAACAAAAAGTCACATGAAAAATAACACAACTTTAACACTAATACAAGAAAATATGGAAGCATATCAATCAACCCAAGGCAGTAATGGACATTTCAAGATAACACATAAAACAGAAAAATAAATTGACTGAAATATTTGACCAAATAACACCAAATGTCAAAACTTGCATGTGATAAAACACACCATAAAGTTAAAAAACCGGGCCAGGGATTTAGCTCAGTGGTTCCAGTGCCTGCCTTGCATGCACAAGGTCCTGAGTTTGATCCCCGGTACCAAAAAAAAAACACCAAAGTTAAAAAACCAAGGGAACGTATTTGCAATACACAGAGCTGACAAAATAATTAATATCTGAAGTAAAGAATGCCTACAAATCAATAAGAAAAAGACAACTCAGAAAAAAATAGGCAAAGAATAAGATTAGGGAACCCATAAAGAAGAAATCTGGAAACAGTTCATAAATAAGAAAAATGCTCAAAATTATAAATAATAACTACACAACTTAGAACCATAAGGATAAACTATTTTACACCCATGAGATAGCAAGCATTAAAAATATAAAGTCTAACAGAACAAGCGCTAGGGAGGAGGTAGGAGATGGGATTTATATATACCATTAATGGGACTACAAATGAAGAACATTTTTTGAGAGAACTGTGTTTTCCCCAAAATAAGACCTAGCTAGAAAATGACAAGCCCTGAAAACTAGAGGTCAATAATGCCAGCCCCCACTGGGTGTGATGGCGCATGCCTGTAATCCCAGCACTTGAGAGGCTGAGGCAGGAGGACTGTCTCAAATTCAAGGCCAGCCTAGGCTACATAGTGGTTTTGCCGCCAGCCTGAACTGCATAGCTAGAGGCCGTTTCTACCCAAAAAAAAAAAAAAAAAAAAAAAAAAAAAGCCAACCCCAATCAGTCTATCCTTGTCTTATCTGCCTTACCCAATAGACACCAAGTAAGGGAATAGTGATGGCAGGTATGGCAAGAATAGGCTGATTGGGGCTGGCATTTCTGATCTCTAGTTTTCAGGGTTGATTATTTTCCAGTTAGGTCTTATTTTTGGGAGAAGAGAGAATTTGGTAATACACTGCAACGCTGCAACTGCCTGTAATCCACAATCCGGTAACACACAATTAGGTATATTTCCTAGAGAAATCTTGGGGAAGTATACCAGGAGACACCTGTATGAGGTCATTCACTGCAACATTACTTAGGAGAGCAAAATATTGGGACAAGTTATACAATGTGAATGGACATCTGTGGTAAAAGAGATTAGTAAACTGGGGAATTCAAACTTCAGAGACGTTAAAATGAAACAACTCTTGGAAAAATGAACATAGATTTTTTTTTTTTTAGAATAGAATGCTGAAGGAAAACAGCAAGGTAAAGAATGACACGAACACTATGATAGAGCTTATATAATGACACAAGTGATATTATCTGTTGTTCATGGAACTATAATGTAGATCATTAAAAATATAAAAGCACGGACCAGAAGGATACAGTAAATTAATGATAGTGGTTGCCTTCTTATGAATGGAATGAAAGGCCAACAGAGGGACTTCGGCTTTACCTGCAACATGCTATTTATTTTGTTTCAAAATTATTAGAAGGAAATTCTGGGTTGTGAAAACATTAAATGTTGGGCACACATTTGTACATTTTAGGGTTTTCTGTTTTCCACAAGAAAGAGATTAATCTGACTCAAGACATGAGAGATGAGTTAGCAGGATCACCTGCTCAAATAACTAAAAAAATGAGGACTATTCCAAATGAATGTCCGTGTGAATAAATACGTTCAGATGTCCATCTTTGCAAAATGGGATTTAACCAAAGCATTTCAGTATGGATGCACAGGCGGGGTAACATTATATGGATGCTATTTCAACCAGAAATTCTTTGTGTAAATATACATTCTTGATACACACAATGGTTGATTTATAACCACTAGCAAAATACACAGATGTCAACATGCTGGCACAGTGTTGGTGATAATGATTAGCTAGCGAGGCAAATAGCCTGCAAATTTGACCCATTACTCGTTGCCACAATAACTATACCTAAATCTAGCCAGTGTGTGATTTTGCATGCTAAAGTGGATCAGCAAATAACTGCATGTAAAACCGCAAACTCAAATTTAGAACTTAAGTTGAGGTGTTTTGGAAGTAACTGTAAGTTATTTGTAGAACTTAAACATGGGTTTCATTTCACTGTTATATTCACACAACAATAAATCCCACAGTACTGTAACGAAAGTCAAATTAACAACCGATATACACGAATAACAGAGACGATTCTCAACAGCTGCTTTCGGCTTCGAAACTGATGTGCTGAAACCACAATCGAATGTGGACCATTAACAAATATTGCAAGCACATACCCATTTCAAAGGAATATGAGAGTTACAAAAAATTAAATTGCATTTCTGGAGTCTGTAATTAAAGTGCAGTAATATGGGAGACTGTGCCTATAGTTTTGTAATGTCTCATAAATATTTTCGGCATGAGGTAGTGGTTGGTGTCCTCTTAGATAAAAATTCTTAAGCCTCAGCAACACTCTTTATGGAGAGCTGCGTCAAGTGTGTGTGATTGGATGTGCTCGTGTCTGCTCTGTGTTTAGCTAAGGATGTCTTCATGTCTCACGGCCATGCCTGATCGCTTGTCCTTTTTAAAGGTAAAGCCATATTAAAATGTTTCTGAAACTGCCTGAGAACAGATGGCACCATTTAGGCAGATTCATTCAAATCTAAGCACATGTTTTAAACAAATGTGTTTCTGGCACGAGATTGTGCCTTTGGAAAAATTCTAGGGTTGATTAATCATGTGCACGCAGACAGCTTTTGCACTGCCGATGGGTTTGTGGAGGGAGCTGGGTTAGGCGTTGCGGAGACAAGAAGGAAAAAGAGAAGGGGACCTCACCCTCAAGGAGACTGTAATCTAGTCGGGACCTAGAGCCCGAATGTGTGAAATAAGAGTGAACATGCAGAGAAAGGGAAAGAAGCAAAATGTTCAGGAATATGATCTCAGCACAATCGTTCTGGTCCTCCAGGTCAGGTGTGTTCAACCCACAGCCTGCAGGCCACCTGCCTTCTTTTTAAGAAAAAAGTTATAGTAGGGCCGGGGATTTAGCTCAGTGGTTCCTCCGCCTGCCACAGAAGCGCAAGCTCCTGAGTTCGATCCCTGGTACCAGTGGTACCTATAGTAAAAGTATTTTTAAAAGGAAGGTCAAGGTCATACCTGAGAACTTAACTGTTTCTCATCCCAGAAGCTCCCTGTCCCTGCTTATCCCTTGGTTTCTACAGCCAAATGCTCTCTGGCTACTCCTTACTCCATAACCACTCATTCCCCTTTTCCTTTATTGGACCCTCTTTAGCCTCTAAAAATAGATGTTCCCTGGGCTACAGCTATCATATTTTTTCCCCTTGGAGACATTTTTTGTACAGCTCCAATTCTCACTGGATAGACTCT